GAGGCGCATCGATCATATTTTCGCTTCCCAATGGATTCTGGAACATAAGCAGATCTACCGGCGGCCGACACTTGGCATATTTGTTAACCTGAAGGTGGCATTTGACTCAGTTGATCGTGAGGTGTTGTGGCGGTGTCTAACTGAAGGGAGTACCCAGCAAGTATATAACGCATATCAAAGCTCTCCACTCAAACTCACTCAGCGATGTTAGGAATTATGAAGAGTTGTCAGGTGAGTTAACAACAACTAGTGGTGTCCAGCAGGGATGTCCACTGTCACCGTTCTTATTTAATTTTGCCATAGATGTACTAATGGATATAGTCTTAGCTACATCTGACTTCATAGGGATTGACCTCCCTGGAGGTCATCTAGTTGACTTGGAGTATGCAAACGTTAGTGCCGTCCTCGATGAAGAATGCAAAATGACAGGATTCAGGGTCTTGTGAACGCGCTGAGCAGAAATGTAAATATGTTTGGGACGAGTTTTGTCCGATGTAAGATGGTGCTCCATGATCGGTCTGCTGCAATAACTCCCAGTTTGATGATGGGGAGTGAAGTGGTGGGATGTGTCGACCACTTCACTTTCTTAAGAAGTTGCATCAGCCCAAAGGGGTTGGTCGCTAGTAAAATCTCATCTCGGATACAGAAGTCCCATTTAGCATCTGCCAACTTGCATCATCTGTGGCTCTGACTAGTGAAATATTCGACTATTTATCAAAGGATGAGTATACTACACTACAGTCCGTTCTGTCCTGTTGTATGGCTCTGAGACATGGCCATTGAAAGTGGAAGACATGAAATGGTTACATGTTTTCGATCACAGGTTTCTTCATAGTGTTGCTCACATTTGGTGGAATCACCGTGTGAGCAATGTTGAGGTCAGGAGAAAGGTATTAAGCAAGGTAGGCAAGCCGATTGGTGAGATTGTAAACCTTCATCGACTGAGATGGTTTGGACATGTGTTGCTGATACCGAGTCACCACCTACCTTGATGTGCCATACTAAGGTAAGTTGAATTATGTTGGGAGAGGGTTTCGGTGTGATCAGACCAAAACGTTGAACCAGCACATGAAGTCTGTGACCACTGATCTGAGCCTTGTATGGGGGTGTAGACTACCTGTCCTGTGTCCTCGAGACGACAGAAATCAGTGGTTGAGGACTGTTGGTGACGTGACTGTAAAGCGATCACAATGGCGCAGATGTATACACTCTTTGATTTCTTGGGCAATATTTTCACTAACCGTTGTCTTCAAATTGTTTATTCACTCACAAACCTTTGTCTACCTTGATATCACTATTTTTTGTCCACTTGTTGTTTGCATGCTACCGTGAGGTATGGAATCGTTTGTACTAGGTTCTACGTTGGTTTTGTCTGTCTTTCATATCTGCACGCCGTATATTCCATGTAGAAAGAACGAGGTCATAATTCAAGTCGTATATACGAAACTTGAAAAGCAATACTAAGTGGTCACTATTAGCTAATGGAGGTAGATGTTGGAGATCAGTTACTTCCTCTCTTTGGTGTGTAAAAATCAAATCTAAGAGCGATGGTTTATACTGTAGATCGAAACTCGTCGCACTAATTACGTTTTGAACCGAATCACCTAAAAGTGATAAAAGTAGGTCGCAGCAGTATTACAGTGTAGCATAAGGTCAACCTTGCAGTTTTAATAATCAAATAACATTAGACACCTCATTACTTTTCCTTGTTAGAGTACAGAAAACCATTGTTATAAAAAAGTAAATTATTATTGTACCATGAGTCAGAAACTAGCAGTCCCCATAAATCTGGACATGTAGTTGTAAAGTAAGTAGTAAGTCTATCCTTTGCAAAGTACGGGGTCATCACTTCTCCTCTGAGTTCTGTCTCTTAGGAAGCTAGCCGTGTCGATTACACATTTCCTTGTTTGGAATTTCTATCGAAATTCAAGCTTCCGATAATAAGGGTTTTTTGCAAGTAGATTAGAACATGGCACTTTCAGTTCTACTACTTTCTTCTGAAGTCCCTTAACCTTACCACTCATGGACATTTATGCATTTTGTACATTGAGGTGGATAGCAAGAAAAGAGTTGCCCTAGTATCTTTCTAGCCACTGGTTTCGATTTCTTATAGGCACCTTTATTTTGCTGACAAGTATCCTTTTTTCGGAGCATCCTTGGATTCCTATATTAGTTTATTTAGAGCGGTAGTCATAGTAGCATTCACCAAGATGTCTGCTGGATAGTTACCATATAGGCAACACGGATTGGAATGTTCTAAGCGTCTATCTTTTATCTTCCTACACGCTCCCTTACCATCTTATCGACCATCTAGTCAGCCCTTGATACCAAAGCAAACCAGTAGTGCTGTCGTAAGTAGTTAATGTTAGTCGAAGCTAGCGGCCAGAAGTCGAGGTGTGAAGATTACCTGGAAGTGAGTCATTTTAACATCATCATCATTATCAACATAGGACCAGGCATTACTGCGTAACGGTCCGAGTTGCCACACCTCATATCAGCACATCAAGTAAAAAGGTAGTGAGGTGAAGGATGAAGATAAGTGAATGCAGTCAAAAGAAATATAAAGTACGAGAAGAAAGGAAAGAGGAGTGACAAAATAGTGAGATTCGGTATAGCGTTGTTAAGATGAGGATAATGTGTGTATACATCTGCGACACTGACTTCGGTTCTGAGCCATTTCACCTAGGGTCTCCAACCACTGGTTCCTCTTGTCCCGTGGACCCCAACCACCTAGTCTGCATCGTCCTACATGGCTTAAACCAACAGTCAGAGACTTCATACATTGGTGCCATGTTTTAGTCTGGCCACCTCGGGCCTTTTTCCAGCCTGAACCCACCTCAGCCAACATTGTGTGACGAGGCAATCGGTGACTAGGCATACGTAGTACGTGTCCCAACCATCTCAGTCGATGAAGGTTCACAACCTCGTCGACTGACTTACCTCTTCTCCCTAAAACTCTACACCTAACTTCTGCATTACTCACATGGTGACACCACGGAATACGTCCTATACTACGAAGGCAACGGTGGTCAAATACCTGTAACCTTCTCATGTCTTCCACTTTCAATGGCCATGTTTCACAGCCATACAGTAGAACAGAGCGGACTGCTGTGCAGTACACGCGACCCTTAATAGACAAACGAGTATCACGGCGGCGCCGTAGGTGGCGCAAATTGGCAAAAGCCAATCGAGCCTTTTGTATCCGTGCAGAAATCTCATCGGCAACTGACCCACCGGAGTTGATCCTACTTCCCAGGTAAGTGAAGTGGTCAACACACTCAACCACTTCACTCTCTATTGTTAACCGCGGTACCGCTGAAGACCAGTCCTGGAGCAAAAATTTGCATTTGGGTGGTGGTCATTTTAACAATTTATTCAGACTCCCAGTTGACGGATTTTCAAGACCCATTTAGGCGGCTACCCATCGCAACTATTAGAAATGATGGGGCTAATACCCACACTGTCGTTCTTTGCTTACTTACTCCAGTATTCTGTGTACAACAACTGTAGAAGTTTTATGTGGGTCATCACTAGTAGTTTTGCTGTCCTCTCTGATTTGTTGGGCTAAATCCTAGTGTTGCAAGAATGGTCTATATTGGAACGGCGTGGAAGAAGAATATTTTCAGCTTGCATTGAAGAGTTTAAGCATACCCTAGGAGTTGGTTTTAGGTTCTCGATTCTTGCTAGGTGGTCCGCATAATCTAGAGATGGGTGGTAATCCGAACGTTTGACAATAATACCCCTCTTTTTTTAGATCAAGCTTCTGCTGCTGGTGTATACAACATAATTAAGCAGGACAGCGGAGTCTCGTCATACTTCGATTCACGCTATGCTTATCAGCTAAAAACACGGCTTATGACTGCTTTTCGTGATAAAGGATGTATATGAACATTTACTGTTACCCTCGAGTTTCTCTACTAGTATAGTTTTATGATTAGACACAAAATGTTGAAACTCCTACTTTAATTACTCTTCAATAATAGATACTCCTGCTAACTCCTCCTTGATAATGGGTAAAGCAGTACCTTTACTTCATTTTTGTTTTACTAGTTTAGGAGAATATATTCTCAATGCAACCTGTAAACTAACAGAAAACTGTGTATAGTTGTGGTGTTTAGGACTATTGTTTTTAGCAAACACCTGATCTGATGTGATTTGCTCTTAAGCTACGACGCCATAGCTCTACACACCACATGAGTGACAAGAGAAAATACCTTTCAAAGAAGGTGATTGTTATTATCTTTGTTTATAGCCTGTTGATTTGGTTGTGTAGGATCCACATCACTATATGGAAGCTGCTATCACTTAGGTGTGTGGCATGGAATAAAACTGAATTTTCGGTATAGTCAGCTATCTCAGGCTATAAAATGGCCTCGTCATTAAGACTTGTTTTATATAACCTGTGGTTTAGCTGTATCTTAACGTAACGGTGATGCAGCAAAAAGATACAGTTACATTTAGTATCGTTAATGTATATATATATATATATATATATATATATATATATATATATATATATATACCACATTAAGTCCTAGTTGTAGGAATTACGATTCATTTTGAATGACTTTTCTCTAGATAACTTCAACTCAGTCAAAGTTTCACTGTATTCTGAAAACGGAAAAATCGAAATTAGAGAAATGCACCCAGCAACCATGTACATGTTCATGCTGTAAGTAAGGAGCTAAACCTACTGTTTAAGGGTTAATTGTACTACCCGGCTGCCCTAAAATCGGTAGGTGAAGCGAGTTTCTGATCAATGATCCATTCAATGAAAGTTGAGTACGTAAACTAATAAACTATAGACCTGCAAAAATCAAGAATATTCTTCATGAAATCCTTTTGTATGTTATTAAAGCCTGAATGCGTTGTTCTATTCAGACCAAATATCTTTTGTCTAATTTTGTTTTTCATTTCAGCAGATCATACAATCTAAATCAGATCATCTAGAGGTTTCAGATAGCAGCAGTACTTTAGTTAAACTCTACTTTTGATCCCATATGGTACTGATTTTTCATTTTCATTAGTACAGTTGGTTTTAGTGATTGGTGACTTCCATATTCCTGATCGGAAACGTTCTTTGCATCCTGCTTTTAAAACTCTTCTAGCCCCTGGGAAAATACAGCACATACTATGCACAGGAAATCTTACTACAAAGTGTATGTATGACTACTTAAAACTTATTTGTGGGGATGTACATGTTGTAAAGGGAGACTTCGACGAGGTAAGTTTCTACTATCTTTTTCAGCATAACAATTAAGGGTTTGGATTTTCCATTGACAAAGGTTTTAAGTGTTGGAAACTTTAAGATAGGGCTTACACATGGGCATCAGATAGTTCCATGGGGAGATCAGAAAAGTTTAGCTATGCTTCAGCGAGAACTGGATGTTGATATTTTGATCAGTGGTCATACTCATAAGTTTGAGGCGTATGAATACGCTGGTCATTTCTACATTAACCCTGGCTCTGCAACTGGTGCATCTAGTCCCTTTGAGAAGTAAGTTGTGTTTTTTTTATCTTGTGACCTAATTGACGTGTTACATTCACCTTTGGTGTTTGTTAAAGGTTGATGCTTTCTACTGATTAGAATGCTTAGCTAGTAAACAAATTGATTTAAATGAGGCGTATTGTTCACAAAATTTTGGGATTACATCCAAAGTTCTGTGGTTTTCCGAAATATATTGTTATTTATATTATTTTTCCCTTGGGTTCCTAGTAGAACATAGGGCTTCAGTAGCACTCCTCCATTGCACTCTGTTCTCTACAGTCTTTTGAACCTCGCTACACGACTGCCCACAAGCTTTCATCTCTTCCTCACATGATCTCCTCATGTCACCCTCAGCTGGAACGCCGAACTCGTCATTTCCCCTTCGGATTCCACTCGACGCCCTGGCCTGGTGCGTGATATTCCCAGTCGGCCTTCTCAGTGTATGCCGATCTAATCCACCTCCACTTTCTTCTGCATATTTGTTGGGTGATATGTTGTTGGTCGGTTCGTTGCCAGCCAGCCAGAGTACCTTGTTGCTTATTCTTTCTGGCCTTGTGATCTGATCATCAGTATCGAGTGAGCGTAGGCAGTTGTTGATGAATGTCTGTAGTTTGTTGGAAGTGTTTCGTGACGCGCCAAGTTTCTGAACCATATAGCAGCTCTGACCTGACATTGGTGTTGAAAATCCGGATGTTGTTCACGCTTTATGCTGAGTGCAGAAGATCTCCACAGTGACTTCAAATTAATGAAAGCCTCTCTTGCTGTCTTTCCGATGATGGCTGGTTTTGACATCCTCTTCTGTGTCTGTGCCGTCTGTAGTTGAAACAATGCTACCTAGGTAGGTGTAGGTGTAGGAGACGACTTCCTTTAGGTTTCTGTCGTTAATGGTGATTGGTGCTTGTTGTTGATGCTGTTGTTGGTTGGGTATGTTCATCACCTCCGTCTTCTCTATACTCAATTGAAGTCCCGTCTTCCTTCGCTGCCTCTTCTACCAACTTGTTAGTTTTCGCCGGTAGATCTTCGAGTTTGCGCGACATTAGACACAAGTCATCGGCGAAGTCCAAATCTTCCAGGATTCTTCCCCGCTTCAGCCAGCGTATACCCATCATCTCGCACCTCAAAGTTGCCTGCTGCATGATCCAGTACAGTACTGTCGACCGCAATCAGGAAGATTATGGGTGATAGTAGGCAGCAGTCTTGTCTCACTCCTGTCTTCACTTCAAAGGCGTCACTGAGCTTTCCAATGTGGATCACCTGGCATGTGGTGTCTTCATACAGCTGCTGTTGAATGAGTTTGATAAAGGTTTGTGGCAATAAAACCGTGGTGTTGAAGCAGCTGCCTGCCAAATTACGTCTCGGTCGACGCTGTCGAAGCCCTTTTCAGATTCGATGAAGTTGAGGTAGAGTTGAGTTGACTGCCATTCTACACTGTGTTCTATGATGGTGCGTAGTGCAGCGTTACAATTTGGTTCGCGCATGATTTGTGCTTCCTGAATCCAGCCTATTCGGGCCGTAGTTTTGAATTCAGTGCATCCTTTAGTCTCTCCAGGATGATGCGGCATAATATTTTGCCTAGGGTGGATAGGAGAGTGATTCCACGCCAGTTCTTGCAAAGACTTAGGTCTCCCTTCTTTGGGAGTTTGACAAGGTAACCTTTCATTCAATCGCCAGGTACCTTTACCTCCTTCCAGACCTTCTGCAATAGTGGTGTGAGCATGTCCGCAGTTGTCTCTGTGTCTGTTTTTCGTGCTTCTGGCAGAGTTCCATCTGGTCCTGCTGCTTTCCCGCATGTCAGCAGTTTTATGGCATTCACGACTTCTGCTTTTGTAGGAGGGCCTGTGTTCACTGGCAGTTCTGCTGTTGCTGGTGGTATTTCTGGACGAGTTGCAGGTGGTGGCGGCCGATTCAAGAGTTGTTTGAAGTGGTCAGCCCATCGTTTCCTTTGTTTCTCTTCCTTGGTAACTTGCTTTCCTTCATTATCCTTCATTGGTTTCGTCTGAGTTGACCTCTTCCAGGATAGTGACCTGGTTATTTGGTACAATGTTGTCAGGTCTCTATCTCTCCTACCAGCAGCCTGTTCTGCTTCACTTGCCAGTGTGTCGTAGAAGTGTCTTTTGTCTTTGTGCGCACTCTTCTTCACCTCTTTGTCCGGTGTTTTCATACGTTGTACTCAGTTCTTTTTTTCGTTGTGCATCCTTGCAGTAAGGCCGCCTGGGGACGTCGCGCGTCAGGCCAGTTGCTCGAGTGGAACCCCGATGGGAAGCGACGAGTTGGGCGTCCGAGGGTGACGTGGAGAAGATCGTGCGAGGAGGAAATGAGAGCTTGTGAGCTGTCGTGGAGCCAGGTTCAAAATATTTCAGAGAACAGAATTCACTGGAGATGTGCTACTGAAGCCCTATGTTCCTTTAGGAACTCAAGGGAAAAATAATAATGATAATCCTTGCAGTGGTTCATCTTCTGCTTTACCATCCTCCTCTGCCTGCTCTATCTGCTTCCATGTGTCCGTCGAGATCCATTCCTTGTCTTCTTTCTTTTTTTCCTAGTATGGTTATGCTGGTTCCCTTCCACATAGTTTTCAAAGATTTCCAGTGTTCTTCCACACAGGTTCCTTCAGGGATGTTGCTCAACATCTCCCATTTTGTTCTGATGGCTGACGTGAAGATGTCGTTTGTAGTTTCGTCCTTCAGTCCGGTTTCTGTTGTGGGTGTTGAACTCGAATTGTGGTCTATCATCAACCTCTTTGAAGGCTTCCAACTTGATTTGGAAGGTGAATTCCTCGGACTAGATAGTGAGTGGTGTGAACCTACATCTGCTCCCCTTCTTGATCTTGTCTCCAGTAGGCCGCGTCCCCACTTTTTCCACATTGAGATGAAGTCGACCTGATTTTTAGTGTAGTGTGTCCATCTGGTGAAATCTGTGTCGCTTTGTGAATGTCCTTGTGTTTGTACACACTGCCTCCAATCACCAAATCGTTGAATGCACATAATTATGCAAACAGTTCTCTATTCTCGTTCATTTCACCAAATGCTTCTTGACCCACGATGAATGAGTTCTCTTCCTGTGTTGTCCACTCCCAGTTTGGCATTCATGTCGCTCATTAGAATTTTGATATCGCCAACTGGAGTCTTGTCTAGTATTGGTTGCAGTTGTCTGTAGAATTCCTCCTTCTTCTCTTGGTCTGCACTATTTTTAGGTGCATAGCGTTGCATTCAATGATTGTGACGTTCTTTCCTCTTGAGTTGAATCTTGCTGTCACGATCCTGGAGGAGACTGGTTCCCACTGCGTGAGAGAGAGCCTTCGATGTTCTTGGAGACATCATGGTGGCTATTCCAAAACTGTGCTTATGGTTGTCGTCTGGGTGGTAATATTGGAGTAGATTATCGACTCTCCAGTTGACAGTTTGGAGAGTCCACTTCCATTCCATCTTCTTTCGCAAATTCCAAGCACTTCAGTGTGATACCTCTTCATCTCGTTTGCAATCTGGGCAGCCTTGCTAGATCCAAACATGGTGCGGACATTCCATGTCCCCATGTTTACTTTGGTTTGATCGAGAGAGGCGAAGACACATCGGTCAATTGGCTTTCCGAAGGCTTTCACCAACCGGTGTCATTTCGCCTCTCCGATTCCAGAGAGGAGTAAGTTTGTTTTTATTTTTCATATTTTGTTTGTGCTTTGAAGTTTGTTTAGCGATTGGATTGGTTTTCCGTGGTAGGGTTGCTAGCCATATGCCTAACTTTCCTCTTTATCGGGACTAAGGCCCGGCTAGTAACTAGACAACTAGTTAACCAGGCGTGGTGTTCCATGGTATATGTCAGTGTTTTAGCATCCTGAGTGCTATATACTTGGCGAATTCATATTGGAGTTGTGTAAATTATTGTATCTGGTTTCTCAAAAAGTTACATTTCCTAGTGGTGGTCGAAAGCGTCTCATTCATCAGAAAGTCTATAACCGACTATGAAATCAGTTGAAGTCAGCAACCTTGTGCACATCTTTACAGTAGGCAGTGCGCCACAATTATGGTGTGTAGGCTAATAGATGCTGCATGGCTGTTCAGACCTCGGTAGCTGGGATGGTGTTCGAACCCGTGACCCTTTGGTTAAAGGCCAACTTGCGGAACTAATAAGCCGTAGCTCAACTGTAATATCGATGTCCAGACGTGATCTCCCCGGATAGCTATAGATGACCGGGGTGTTAATTTTAATAACATATGGAGTCTTCTAAACGTCTTGAGTATCCGGTATGCTTTTGTGACTCAAATGTAAGATGATTTCTCAAGAATGGCTAGAAATCTGGTTGGCAATGGAATTTTAATGGGGAAACAGTGGACTTGTTTGTGATTCACTAATTAACACCACTTTTGACATCGGTAATATGCCCCGCAACCACTGAATGGCTAATGTATTACTCAGCATTTTGATCCATTCTATTGTACAGCTACGAAATGACTTTTGGAGGTAAACAGAGATTAGTTTTCCACTTATCGGTGTCTTTATAGAGTTTCGGGACGGTGATAAATCAAGGAATACGTAATGCTAAAGTTGAGCATACAATTCTCTCCCTTCACGTTTTTCTGGTGTGTTTTGGTACATGTCTACTTCTGTCGATTTTTCTGCACTGTTATGAAGCATTGCATTTTTTTGTAAAATAACAGATCCTGTGTTGTACGTTCTACCTCTTTGTTATTCAGACTTTATGTGTGAAAATATCCGGACATCAAACAAGGTGACTTCTTATCATCCACACTTCCCTATTCAAAATCAAGGATTGATAAAAGTAAACAAAAAGGGTGGATTCTTCTAAACGAACAGTATAGTTTTCCAGTAAATTATGTGTACGAGCGATAAAATGAAAGTAATCAGTTAGTGAATGATTTAAAAGCAGATCAGTGTTTCTTCAAAATGTCTTGTTCATCTTAAGCCAGGACGTAATATTGGCACATAAAATGGACAATTATCCAAGGGGAAAATGATAGATAAATCAACATGAAACCTCTCTTTAATGTGTATCCGTTGAAGTTAGTAAACTTTACAACAGCATACAAAGAGAAAGTGAATAGGTAAGTAGGTGATAATAAAGAATAGAAGAGTTAAGAAGGTGAAATATTAAAAACTTTACTATTGAAGAGTGTATACATCCCAATGTGGTTCCATCACATACGAGCGATACTACTTACTTACTTAACGTACTCAACTACCTTGTGCATATCTCTACTGTAGGAAATAGGTCACACCTTATTGTATGAGGGCTAGTGATGCTATCTGGCTGCTCAAACGTCGGTAGGTGGGGTGAGATTCAAACCCGTAACCAACTGGTTAATAATCATCTCTCTAAACCACTGAGTCACAACCCTACACGAGCAATACCACGAGAGCAAGTATCATCAAAAACTTGTAGCCTCCTTATAACTTATACTTTCAACCGGAAAGCAGTCAAAAACACACGGTAGTCATTGATTTCCCTCTATTTATGATATACATTGGCTTACTCTTCTGACATCAACATTTTGAGAGTAGTGTAAACTCAAAACAGCGCTAGCTGAGAATTCATTGTAGTACATCATGGTTAGTGTACTCGGTTATTCGATGCTACAATCAAGGTGTTTAAAGTTATACATTTATTGATGGTTCCCTTCAATAAGTTGCAGAGTTTAAGAAGTAGATGAGATTCTCTGGTTTTGAAAATGGAAGTAGATAGAGCAACTTTTGGATTATTGAGTCATAACTCTACAATTTTGTTTGAAGTCCTGTGTGAATACGAAGTTATGATTATTTCGTGTGCACATCATGGCTAATGATTGGAGTCACAAAGACTGTATCCGTTGATGGATATCATCAAGATATTGTCAGTATGAAATGTTCAGTTTTGTGCATTGGTTTATCTTAATGACTCATGTTTAGTACATATCACCTGGTCTACAACTACGTAACTAAATTGGTTTTCTTTATAAAATGTGTTTTGTTTTTTCATCTATCAGAAATCCACAACCTTCATTTGTTCTTTTGGATATTCAAGAAACAGTGATACAACTATATGTGTATACTCTGGTCAATGATGAGCATAAAGTTTCGCGTATAGAATATCACAAAAGCAAACAAATATGACTGAATCATTTACTACTATTTTCTATCAATACCGTCCTATGATTTACGTTATCTTTTTCTTCAAATTGTAAGATAATTGATTCCTTACTTTGTGCAATATTTGTTGAGATGTTTGGCTTCTGTAGAAATTTTATATCACCAGTCTAGTTCTCTTGGTTTGTAGGTGACAACAATATTTCCCAAGTGTAACTCACCATTTTCAGCACTTGAGTTGTGCTTAGTCGAGTTGGTATAAGTTACTTCACATTGTAATGAGATCGTAAGGCAGTTCACTATGATATCTCGCCACCGATTACCTTAAACAGGCAATGAATCATCACAATAGCATATTCCTATATACCGGCTGTCAGTCTACATTGTTGTAAAACTAGCAACTAGTATCGTCATCATACAAGATCTTATATTCAAATGAGTATTCTAAGAGCAAAATCATACGCCTGGCTTTTTCTATCCAAGTACCCACTAGATTGGAGCTTTCAATGACAGTTTAGTTATAATGTGTCAGAAAGGCGAAACCAACGTACAACCTCGAACAGAAGTGTATTGGTTGAAGCTGCCGAACTTCATAGTAGTACATAAAGAACAAGATTATAGGAAAGACTGATTTCAAAGTAGATAAAGATATTTGTGAGGAGAGGGAATTCGAAAACTACGGTTAGTCTAAACATTCAAACTGTAGAATACGCCAAAGAATGAAAACATCTGCACCACTGTGACCGGTTTTCAGCCATTTCACCAAGAACTCTTAACTAGTGATTTCCATCGTTTCAGGGACTCTACACTTCTATACACGGCTCAAACCAATAGTCAGACACTTCATCGACGGGTGCCTTGTCTCAGTCTGACCACCCTGAACCCTCTTCTAACCTAACCCAACTTCTCCGAGCACTGCACGTCGACGTAAGCAATTCTTCAGCATGTATAGCACATGTCCAAGCCACCTAGTACCTTTCATCCGGCATCGGTATCACTTACACGATGGTTCCACTTAACGTGAGCAATTTTCCGAGAACACCTGCGGTCGAAAGCCTGTAGCCGCTTTTTATCTACTTTTAACGGCATTGTATCACAGCTGTATAACAGTACACAACAGATTGCAGTGGAGCATACTCATCCTTTGGAAGACAGTCCGATATCTCGTCAATCGGGGCCAAAGATGACGCAAGGTCGGACGGACCTGCTGTATCCGAGCTAAGATTTCGTCAGCAACCAGTCCATTCAAGCTGGTGTAATTTCTCAAGAAGGTGAAGTGGTCGACGCATTCCACCGCTCCACACTCCTTATCCTTAGACTAGGAGTAGTTGTAGGTCAGTTCCGTGACAAGTGCGAAATGTATGCCAAACATGCTCAGTTTGTTGCTCAAGGCGTTCTAGAAAACCTGCAGCTTGTCAGCGTCCTCGTCCAACAGGACAATGTTATCTGTGTCAACAAGATGCCCTTCATGGTGTAGAGTAGAGAGATTTAACTAGCGTCACATACTCGCTCGGTACTCCTGGCATAGTGAGGAACTCCACAACACCTCTCCGTCAACAGGGTTGAACGCCATCTGCAGGTCAAGAAATATGGCATGTTGGTCACCGGTGCGTATGTCTGTGTTCCGGAACCTGTCGGACGGTGAAAATCTGGTTGATGTACCTTTATCTAGGTTTGAAACCTGCTTGGTTTTTTCAAGCTGCCGTTAAGCGTCGGATAACTATGGATCTTGAACATAATATTAGTCAAACTGATTCCCCTATGGTTGTAAAAAGAGGACTTATCTTCCTTCTTACAGAGTAGAATGATCAATGAAGTAGACCAGTCTGATGGGACTACCTCTGTTTCCTATACACTACTCGGCAATTCCATTACTCTAGTCTGTAATTTTTACTACCTGTATCCTTAAGAGTTTCGGGTGGTAAACCGTCAGGTCCTGCAGCTTTGGATCGTTTTAGGTTCGACGCAACCTCAGCTTCCAGGACAGCTAGAAAACCGACATCTATATCTGTTTTATGTTCGAGCTGAGCCAATGAAGCGTTGCTGTAATCTAGTTAAAGTGGGCTTCAAAGTGTTCTGCCCAGCCGTTTATCCTTAGAGGTTATCAGCGTCCCATCCTTTTCGGTATTGGTTTCACTTACCATCGTTTCGTTCTTGCCAGTATCTTTAATAAGCCTAAATAATTGCTGGGTGTTACGTAATGCTAATGCCTTTTCCATCCCTTCAGCTCTCGCCACCTACCACTGCTCACTGTCGTTCAACAGACTAGGAGGAGATAAATTATGTTTGATTGGGTTTTGCGTACTAATGAGGGGGTGCGGGCGGTTAACACTTTTAGGCTGCCCACATCTTGAGGCAACTGACAAAGAAAAATATTTGTGACCGCAGAGCCCATGGGACGTCAACTCGAGGCCTATCACAGCCTTTTACAGATTTTTCTCGTGAAATTCGGTTGTTCTTACGTCGGATAGAGAAAACCCAACCAGACTGTAGGGCAGAGAGGAATGTCTGTGAGGGTAAGTCTTATTAACTGCCACTGCGCACTGAGAGACAGTGTGGTGCTGTTGGTCACTCATGAGAAACACTCTATGGCTGTCACATCCCATCCAGCCAGCAGTACAACTTCGTCCTCAGACCCGCATCATGGCATAGCAATTTGCACTGCAACGGTTACTGCTTTTCGTTTTACCGCTATGCAACAGACCTTTGTCGCATTGTAGGACCTCGAGGGAACAAGCTTTTCAGCCAATATAGCTCGTTGGGTCATTGTGCTATGCAAGCCCAATCACCATATCAAGGTAGCCGCCATAGGTCGGTTATCATATTTGATGGTAGAACATTTCCACAAACTGAAGTATAAGTAGTTTTAGTGTTTCGCGGACGACTGTATCGCAGTGTAACAGTTCGGGAATTTTCACCACCATGTGATTATCCTACTTTCAGAATATATTATATAGGGAATGAATTTTCAAAAAACAGATGATAAAAAAGCTTAGCACTTCGAGCTTACTTTCTAAGTAGTTATGTGACTTGGTGTAATTTGACTTGAGGTGGGACACATTCGAAATAAGCGAAAACTCTGTCACCATCTGTTTGTAACCGTGGAGGGGAATAAAAAGACTGCTGAGAGATATATTACTTCTCAGATCCATCAGAAGCTTTGTCACACTACCTGCATTTTATCGGTGCGGAAACCCCACCCGATTATCACTTATTTTCGGCATCGTTATATCTCACCTCCACTTTAACAAATCATGTATATTACATATCTTTTGCATATCCTATCTGTATCAGTTACTAAGGTCTTGAGTTAAAGAGTTGGTATATACGAAATTAAGACTCGTTACTCAGCGAATCCCTCCAATGGCCTACACCTGTTGCGCGAAGACTTACGACACTACCTAACTATCCAAACCTCAGTGTTATTGTAGTACCTAGGAGCTGAAAATTAGGAATGACCCAGAAGGTTCCATAATCACCACAACGGTTCCCATGTACATATAAACAGAGCATTCGGGCTTATCAAGACCATTCTTATGACACTTCACTTTAATCTAGCAACTCGGCGGGAATAGCACAACTTTATTCCGTTACACCAAATGGTATTATTAATGCTATTTTACCAAAGCTGTGATAATGAGAAGGAACTAATTATAAGAGTGAAGCAGCAAAAAGTTGTAGTACCCGATTCGATACCTTTTTCTTGCCTAAGTGCAGCATCACCAAACTGTAGAATTTGGGCTGCAGCTATACGCTGCTTTATTCAGAAGTCAGAGTGTTTAGGAGAACGTCATATGGTGGTTAGCTAAATTTCTCCGGAATTGTCAAGAGGAAGTGAAAGTCAAGAACCTAACCAGTCTATTTTTCCGTAACTGGAGGACTGCTTCACTAAATAACTAGATGCATTCAATGTCATCTCTACACTAGAGTGAATTTTATTCCCCAGAGTACATGTTTGGAATTGGCTACAAAACAGGTTCATCATACAATAGGTCAAATAACATCATTCAGATCTGCGACGGATAGGACACGTTCTAAACTCATGATACCAATGTAAGTAGAAGTAGCCATGATTTGCGTCGATGCAATTATTCTGATAAACATTGTGAATAAACTCTGGGTTTTCGACGTGCATAAGGGTGGACAATGTTTTCTGTTTCTATAAAAATGGTGTATTAAGTATTTGATATGAGACCTGTTTACTGTCTCCAAATGCTGACAGTGCCTATACACATGTGAAGGACCGCATTCTACCACTTTAATTCACGGACAAATTGGGGGTCATCTCATTGAGTTGATGGAATAACTTGACCATCACTTACAAATTCATGAACGAGGCACTGAGCCACACACATTGCATTACAGTATACCGAAATCTCGGTACACAGATTGAAATGCGAACTAGTGACTCATTTTCTGCAAGCCAAGTGCTTAATCTAGTAGACCAGCGAGGTAAGAATATCAGGATTTGAGAGAAAGGGTCATATTGGCTTTCAGAGGAATGCATTGATTACAGGCCTTTTTTCATCAAACCCAACCGTAAGAATTCAGATCCTGCTGTGTGAACTCAGTTACGAATTGGAGGCTTGCAGAGTGATCCTATAAGACAACGAGATACCTTATTTTATGTGGTGTATGCGTGAAGTGTAACACTTTTCTTGCTGCTTATATTGTAGCAAGTACGTGTTACATAAATTATGGTGGTGCTGCATACTCTAAGCTAGGTGGTTCAATTACAGCCACAGTTTGGACTGTAGCTCTAGGAATCGCCAGTGGGTTTCCTAAAATTTTGCAGTGACAAATCAGGTGACCATGAAAGTGATCGACTACTCACAGGTATTTTCACTTGCAGATGGTGGGATAAGATGCATGGTCTAACAAAGCTTAATCCAGTGAACAGTAGTCTCTTCTTTCACAAGATATCCTGGCCGGAAAGCCTAGAGTTTCCATGGTGTTGAAAGATAATTACATTACCTTGGACTACATCTTGGTTTGAGATTGGTATCACATTAATATTCAGACGATCTAACAGACTGCTACTCAAACATATGGAGATGGCGACTGAAGTTTAAAGAATATCGTGGTTGTAGCAAATTTCAAAACATCTTCAACCGGCCTGACATAAATTGATATCCAAAACCCAAATGCTAGTACCTTTTCCACTACTTTAATTAATATCGCATGTTAATGTGTGGAGACATACATAGCCCCAATAATTTATTCGGTTTAAATCCATCTTTTAATATATCTCCAGTCTTTAACTTCCACATACTCAAACATTTCTACCTTAGCTGCCACCGTTGAGTGTTTAGAGGTTCCCATCGAATCGACCGACCAATATTGCGTCAATGAGAGGGATTTTTCTCTAAGGTTCTGGGGTACAGTGTCAATTTGAAGAACGATTAGATAAAAAGCAATTACATTCACAGGGAAAATGCTGAAAAACAGTTTGGAGTCTGAAGGTGAAGCTTTACTGTTAGAAGTACCGAGGTATAACGGCAATGAGGTGTTCCCAACGGATAACTGGTATACCAAGTGATATCATCTTTATTAGGAGTAGGGGTCAGAAACGATTAGTCTTCAAAATAGTAATCCCCTTGATCCATGGATCTTCGATGTCCAGTTAGGGTATGAAGTCGAAGCGCACTCAGCAACCTTGTGCACTTTCTCACAACAGACAATGAGCCACACCTACCGTGTGCAATATACGACTAAGTCAAATGTCTTCAAAATGACTATTTTGATTGGGCTCAGTGGTCAGGCTCATGCGTTGATTAGACAATTCATCCAATATTTTGAGTCAACCCGTATAACAAATTATCATTTTCAGTCACCCACATGTCTCTAGCAGACAAACGACGCTTTAATGGTGTCAGTGGACAGACACAGTCAACTCATGTCGTACAAATTCATTTTTGAAAATCATGGGATGTCACCTCAGTTTAAAATAAGCCAAAGAGTTTATATGGGACGAGCTAATTCTGAGACCAAACCATGGATAAAATACTAGCCAGTTTTCATAAATATGGAATATTTATTACTCATCCAATCGTCCACATTAACACTGAAATAATTATGTACAACTTCCGATACCTGAAATTAAAGAGATATCTCACAATCATTCAGTTTAAACATTAAATGTGCACGAAGTACATTGTTAGCAAATAACAAGAAAAAAAGCCCATTCAATACACGTTCGAAAAGTTGTGATTTGGTATGAATGGAGTAACCGCCGAGTAGTAGACTATATATACAGTGGGTGCAAGACAACTACTCAATCATCGTCTTTTTCATAATGAATAGTAACTTTACGTTTTTTGGTATGATTGGCCAATACAAGATTGTGTTCAGCTTCTTCTTCGTCTTCTTCATCCTCCTCATCAATAGCTGCAATATCTTCTATGTCTTCTAGTTCAGACCCGAAGAATACACGATCTCCTCTTCGTTTTCTTCATATTCCTCATCGGAGTTTTCTTCAAGTTCTTCTATTTCTTCAGCCTCTAAAGCCTTTTCAAAAGCAGACTGGTCGATGTTATATATTTCTTTAGAGGATGTCGATGCACGTAATCGTTCTAATAACTCTTGTTCCACAGTACGCTCAATTCGTGCTACACGTAGTGCTTTAGCCTCTCTTCTTAATTCACGTTTTTCAACTGTACGGTTGATAGGTTCTAATTTCTTCTGCCTTGACAAGGCTAAACGTCGCATGTTTTTCAGATAATCTCTTGTACGGAAGAATCGCTGTTTGACACGAGTAATTATCCATTTATCCCAATATAATAGATGTTCTTTGATTTGTTTGAGTGCCTGTTCTTTATTTCGGCGTAATTTAATTCGTTCCCACTGTTTACCAGGATAAGGTATACGTTCGGGTTCCTTTACATACAGGTAGATGATACCATCTCTTTCTTTTATGGTGGCATATTGTGAATTGGCAAGCGGACAGGAATGTCGATTGCACAATCCTGTGACATTATCTTCATTTCTACAAAACCTTCCTGTCTTAGTTTTGACTACAAATGAACAGAATGAATGGTTGATAGTGTGCCATATTACGTCATCGTTATTCATTCTTCAACTGAAGAGTAAAACAAAATTGAATAAAACTTAACTTCAATTATAAAAATCCAATGATTCATTGGTAAGTAAAACACCCACTCTGTTAGATATACAGATACTTTTATCTTATGATTGTGATACACATTTACTGAAGATGACATAAATTAACTTCTTACTAGGTATCTTCGAGGCATTACACACTTCTGATGGGACTAATGACTGAGTAACGTTGGTGCTAGATAGCAATACAAACTGGTAAATGAGATAGTGAGCATTATGTTGATGGCGTCTGGGTGATGAATCATGCCTGTGGGCTAACCAGCTAACCTTAATATGTGATTATAAAAATAGCGAAGGCAAGAATAATAAAAATTTAAAAAGCGATACACTGAAGCAATGTGTAAGGCCATGGGTTAGTTACACAGTGGCTGTGTACTTGTTCAGCAAATTTACGAAATGTTAGAAATAGGTTGTACGTTACTATCTTGCATACCTTGGATATTGATAACAATAATGATAACGCAAACTGTATCCCGGCTTGTTAATGCCATTGGTTAACATTATCACCAAACTGTTAACGGTCATATTAAACACGTCTCTGTCACTAACTGATTTGCCCAGGAAATAGAAAAATGCCATTGCATCCGTTCATTTTCAGGTAACAGTGGATAGTCATTTAGACTTATCAAGGAAACTGAGGCCAAAATGTCAGTGGTTAATCAAGCAATTAGGGAGAAGGATGTACGGAAGAGTTCATTTGGCCACCATACAGACAAAATCAACCTATAACCTCCCACACAAGTGTATCGGTTCAAGTTGCAGAACTCCACAGTAGCTCTTTGAGAAGGACTGATGTCAAAGCAGACAAAGATGTCTTGGAACAGAGGGAATTTAAAAATTCAAGCTTTAGAAGACGCCAAAGAGTGAATGCATCTGTGCCGTTGTGACCGATTTCCAGCCATATGATCAGGAGTTCTTAACTACCGTTTTTCTTTTCGAGGACTTTAGCCAAGTAGTCTACACCTCCATACACGCCACAGAAACAGTAAGGGACTTCGTCGACTGATGCCATGTCTTGGTCTGACAACACTGAACCGTCTTCCAAACTAATCCAACTTTCTTCAGCTTTGGATGTCGAGGGAGAAATTGGTTCGGCATACTCAATACACATCAAGCTCCCTCAGACATGAAGGTTCACAACCTCATCGACTGACTTGCGTTTATTGTTTAGTACTCTTTAGCTGAACTCGATATCACTCACACGGTGATACCACTTAATAAGGGCGATGTCCCGAAGACACCTATGTTCAGAAACCTATAACCGCTTCACATCTACTTTAAACGGCGTGTATAACTGAGGTATAACAAAACAGAATGCATCGCCGTATACTCGTCATTTATTAGGTAGTCGAATATCTCACCAGTTGGCGCCAAAGATGAACCACGTTGGAAATGCCAAACGGGTCTTCTATATCCAAGCTGAGTTTTGGCCAGCAACAAGCTCGTTCGGGCGATGCGACTCCACAAGTGAAGTGGTCGATACATCCTACCACTTTACACACCTATCCTTAAAGTGGGAGTATTTGCAAACCAGTCCTATGACTGGTGCGAAACGCACGCCAAACACTCCGATTTTTACTCAGTGTTCAGGAGCTGTGACTCGTTGGCTTAGGGAGATGAGTATCAACCAGTGGGGTCACGGATTCGAATTCCATTCTACCTAACGAGATTTAAACAGCCAGGTAGTATCATTAGCCCTCACACAATAGGTATGGCTCATCGACTACTGCATAAATGTGTACAAGGTAGCTGAGTGAGTTTCGTTCAGAAGAACCTATATTTTGTCAGCGTCTTCACCAAGCGCGGCAATGTCACTTGTGTGTTCCAAGTCAACCAAATGCCCTTCAGGGTGTACAGTAGGCAGCTTTGACGCCTTTCACGGCTAGAAACGCTCAAAATACCTCTCGGTCAACAGAATTGAATGCCATCAGCAGATTAAGAAATATGGAAAAAAAGAAATGAACTCAGCAGCCTTGTTCACATTCGTGCATTAGGCACAGCCACACCTTTTGAGTAAGGGTTAATGGTACTATCTAGCTACCTAAGCCTCGGTAGTTGAAGTGAGGTTCAAACCCTTGGCAAGTGTCGGCCGCCGGTATGTATGCCTATGTTCATGAACCTGTCGGACGGTAATATGATCGACGCACCCTAGTTCAGGTCTGAAACCTGCCTGGTTTCCTCGAGCTCCAGTTAGGCGTTGGAGAACAATAGACTCTAGGATCTTGTACACGACTTTAGTTAAAGTGATTCCTTTACAACTGTCAAAAGAATACTTCTCACGTTTCTTATATAGTGAAATGATCACTGAAGATCAGTCTGATAGGACTACCTCTGATTCTTATTTACTGCCTAGTACATCTGTTACTCTAATCAGTATTTTTACTACATCCATCCATAAAAGCTTTGGTCGGCAAACTGTCAAGTTCAGCTGCTTTGCAGCATATCAGATTCGAAGCAGTCTTTTCAACTTCAAGGTCTTTTACATATAGCCTTTTAACTTCGGACAAAAAAAAAACAAGGCACATGCACTGGAAGACTGCATGGCAGAAAGGAGTGTGCTGTTTTGGGGTAAACCTTTTGTAACCTGCCCTTCGCATTAGGAAAGCAGCCTTAGTGTGGTACTTCTGGTCATCCAAGACCTTACCAGTGTCGCACCCCATTCAGCCAGTAGTACGACTTAGCCCTCGGATGCCTATCATAGTGTAACAATTCGTACTGCAGTAGTATTTGATTTCTGTCTTGTCATTATCCAACAGACCTTTCTGACATCCTAAGACCTCGAGAGAAAACGTGTTCGAGTCAGTGTAGCTCATTGGGTCAGTTTGATATGCAAGGTCGATTATCACATCAAAGTTGCAGTTAGTGGTGGGGGACTGGCCTCCTACGACTATTGCGACGCAGACTACACAGTGGGATGATATTGGGGAAATGGGAGTGTCCTTCAAATCTTGCCGAAGTTGAGAAGGCTGTAAGTAACCTGAAACGAGAAACAGCAGTAAAACCAGAATGGTCACTAACGAATGTAATTAAGGACGGTGGCAGAAGATTAGCTAAAGTACGGTGGTCGGACTGGTCTGTCACTGATTTTCTCAGTCTCCTAGAAACCCCAAATGATAATCACAGTGGAATCACTCTGACGAAAAAGGTTTCTAGGATCGGTTCTACGTTTATGTGAAGCTCAAAAATATCGAACCCGCGAAAATCAGGCAGGTTACAGACCTTGTCACGTGTGTACCCACTGAATATTCACCCTCCCTTAACTTATGGAAATGCAGTGCACTAGACACCTTGAGAAGCGATTTGAGAATGTTTAAGAAGCGTTTCTCGCCGCCAAAATGCAAATTGCTGCTCTAGGATTGGCATTCACTGCTGCCTTGTCTAACAGTGGGGATTGAAGCGGTTAAGTGCCTCAACCATTTCACTTATATGGGAATCTGGATCACTCCTGGTGGGTCAGTAACCAACGAAATCGCCATACGGATACAAGAGGTTCACATGGCTTTCTTTAGTCCACGCCGTTTATGACATCACGGTAATAGTCAACTTCTTATTGACGGCTAATTGTACTACGCTGCAGTTCGCCTTGGCCTACTGTATGGTTGTAAAACAGGGACACTAGAGATAGTGGACAGACATAAGGAGGCCTCAGGCGTCCGACCACCATTGCCTTCATGGCACACACTGGGTGTCGTGATGTTACCAAGTTAGTAGCATAGAAGTCAGGTATAGCTTTGGATACAAGTAATTCACTTGATGAGGTCGTGGATCCTCATCGACTCAGATGGCTAGTTCGTGTTGTGCATATCTAGTCACCGTTCACTCTGTCGCACAATGTTAGCTGAAGTAGGCTCAGGCTGGGTAAAGGCTTGGGGAAGCCAGACTGAGACATGGCATCACTGCATGAAGTCCTTGACCGTTGGTTTGAGACGTATAGGTAAGTGTAGACATTCTATTTGGGGTCGTGTGATATTTGAAATCGTTGACCGAAGGCTCTCTGTGATATGCCTCAGAATCGATGTTATTGGCATAGATGTGTCTACACATCATTTTCATCATCGGACCTAATCTTAATATTTCCTCCCTTCTCGTTTTTCTATTTCAACGACTTTCTTTTTTATATCTTACCCCTATGTGCTATGTGGCAACTTGAACGTCTACGGAATAAGTCCCTATGTTGAGATTGTTTATCAATTTCAAGGATAGCAAGAAGCATTTATTCAATAACCAACGACCAATTTTCTATCAATCAATTAATTTAATTGGTATGGTCATTATGGTAGAATAAAAAATAACTATGTATGGACCACTGAACCATGTGGAAGCACTACTTATTGCTTAAACGCAACACGCCTTCCATAACGGACGATCCTGTTTAACGAATCTACTTCCTAGGTAAGAACGAGACTTTGGGCGGTAAAATAACCATGGATGTAGTGTTCACTCATTTTAGCAATATCTTTATTAAAATATCTTGCAGACTTCCTTTTTTCCACATGGACAACAACGCATATGAGTGGATTAAGTATCGAGGAAATGACAGGACACAGCTATGATAATCGGGATACCAGAGAGTAGTTACCAGTAGGGTTTCTTGTATTACCACGTTAGGACAAGCCTTTTACAACCCTATGCTTAAGGATTTCTAAAAATGTTAAGACCATCATCCTTGCTATTCTCTGATGATACTGAGGTATGGGGGTTTTTTCGTAATGATAACGTTAGGAAGGCCCTCAATATTTCATGACCAGGTCAACTTAGCGTCTCAGAGTAGTCCCTTGAGAACTTTAACTTTATATCATCAGAACTGGGGGTCTTCCCTTGTATCTATTAGGAAATTTTCGCAGTGAATATATGCGCAGTAACTGCGATATAACAGCCCCTCACCTTAGCTAATCTGGGGTTTATAGTCGCCGTCCTAAAGAACTATCCACCTGTGGTTTCCCTACTTTGGT